TATAAAAGAATATGTTTATGTGCTTCTTACGAATCTGAGGATGAAGTTACAAAATTCAATATAATTATTGAATGATTATTTTTACATATATTTGTCGAATATTCATCTAATTTGATATTTGTATTTATAACTTTTACTTTAGATTTGTAATTATACATATAAACATATACCTATTTCACTTTAAGTTCCAAAAATGTACATTATTTTAGCTATATAAAAAATGGACCTGTGATAATTAATCGTGAATCAAAATTATCACTAAAATAAATTCTCGTACAAGTTGAAGATAAGTTTACAAAAAGCCTTTGCATGTTTCAGTGAATATGATTAACGTAACGAGGCTGACGCTAAGTCACAATAAAATTCAAGGTGAGCGTATCTTCAAGCTTAACACAATTTGTATTGTCCGATAACTTAATCGTTGTATCGCAAAAATTGTTGTTTTCGGTACAGCGGTGCCACCGGGTCTCGCCAATCTAGTCAACCTGGAGATATTGAATCTCTTCAACAATCACATCACCGAGCTGCCTATATCTCTATCGCAAATGCCGAAGTTGAGGATCCTGAATGTAGGGTCAGTATCTACATTTTACAGGACGTGTCCTTATTCCACGATAATTTATCAGAGTATTTAACTTCCGGCAGAATGAACCGGTTAGATGTGCTTCCTCGCGGCTTTGGCGCGTTTCCGGTTCTCGAGGTGTTGGACTTAACGTATAACAATCTCAGTGAAAAGAACCTTCCCGGAAATTTCTTCATGATGGGTCAGTCACGGTTGTTAGATCGTCTAATACGCCTCTTCGCAAAAGTCGCGTATTAATCTGTCTTTTCTTTAGAGACCCTAAGAGCGCTCTATCTCGCCGACAATGATTTCGAGTATCTGCCGCCTGAAATCGGCCAGTTGAAAAATCTTCAGATTGTAAGAGGATTTTAGAGCTTTTGTAGTTTTACAGCTTTATAAAAAAAATGTTCCGTTTCTCTCATCGAGACTCTCTCGATTGAAACATTTCAGCTCGTATTAAGGGAGAATGATCTGATCGAATTACCGAAAGAGATCGGAGAGCTGACACGTCTCAGGGAGCTGCATATTCAGGGAAATCGTTTAACGGTTTTGCCTCCCGAGATAGGTAGATAGAATACTGCAATATGTGCATGTAGTAGTAATTAAGAACGTATATACTGCATAATTCATATTATAGGGAACCTGGATTTAGTAAGTAACAAAGCAGTGTTTCGAATGGAATTCAATCCGTGGGTTACACCAATCGGCGATCAGCTGCAAGTGGGCATATCTCATGTTATGGACTACATTCGCTCGGAAACGTATCGATAGTAGGTGTTTATTAGATCGCTTTATTAAATGCAGTAATTGCTGTAATTATACATTTGCTATATTCAGCAGAATGTTTCTTTCACAACTGTTGAAAGTTGTCTTTCTCTAAGATAGGACTATTCCTTTAAATCTAAAGTATAATCCGAAAAGCATTTATTAAGCGTTGACTTTTGCTGAACATAGTCATCAAATATTTCGAAGAATTTTTAAATTATTATTTTATACGAATTTCCTCATAATTCTCGCACTTTTAACGCTTTAATTAGAGTTTGGATTAACATTCTGCAATTGATCGAGAGAAGTCTTAAACAAGTATTTGTCACTCTTTTCAGCGTTTACAATCGACATCAAAGTGCCAAAGGTCCGCCACCTGATATTGAGAATGATAAAAGCAAGAAGATCTCACGTGCTCGTTGACTTGCGCTTTTCGTATGATTCTGACCAAATAATACTATCTTCTGCCTAATCTTTTTGTACGGAGATTATTTTTACAAGCCATATACTGCCAATAATCGTTTATTTATGCTAATTAACGAATTCAAGAATTAAATGGTGCCTTTTAGAAATAGGATAATGAGACAAGAGGCGTAATGCACATTAATATTGTTATACATTTTTAGTTATCTATATTAATATAATATATATACATATTATTTCTTAATTCAAAAAAAAATGTATAAAAAAATTACACATTTAACTCTTTGTATTTTTTATTCTCGGTCCTCCAACGATAAAAATAAATTTTATATATCTAAAGGATTGAAAACTTTTTAATATTTTATTAATATTTTAATAATTAATTAAATTCTTTTTATGATGGCGACGTCGATATTTTAAAAATTCTATCTGAAAATTAAGGCTTACTAGGTTTTTACAGTATTTTACCGTTTCCCTAGACAACGAGAAAGAAAATCGCAAAACAAATCATATCGTCATTAATCCATATCAAACATTTCCGGTGCCAATAACGCTCGTTTATCCCATTTATTGCAAATAGCGAGTCTTCAAAAATGGTAAATATCGAAAAATATAGCTTAATTTGTAGATTTAGTAATTCAAAAATTATCACGGTTTTCATCATGATATTAAATGATTTAAGATCGATATGTGTTACCACCATTCGACAAAAATTACAAATGTTAGGAACTATACATTCAAAATTAAAAAACATGAGTTTATTAAATAATGAGGGATTTGCATATTTTAAAATGGTAAAGGATGTAGATTTGCGATAAGATACATTGATTAATCGAAATCAATAGCGTGAAGTGCTTTCGATCCACATCGGCCAAGGC